GCTGGGAGTAGTAGAAACCATGGGTTACCATGGAAACAGGGCTCAGAATATGCACTATTTCCAGCCTTGAGAGCACCATACCGTGCCACAGTGCTATTTTTAGCTTTTACTTCAGACACACAATATCTGTTACATTTAACAAGAGTTAAACTGAGTGGGATAAACACCAAGCATGACTACAGGGATATGACTCTCACACTATGTGTACCATCCTTGTAGCCCAATAAACCATTCAGGACAACTAGGATGTTGCAAAATGCTTTTAGCTGCTGAGCTCAACCAGATTTCAGACACATAGCATGAATTTGATTTAACTGGGTTTCACTTTTTCTAATTTATAACGCATATTAGTCAACCAGATAAGATAAATTTTACTCAGTAAAAGAGCTCCAAGCAAGAAGAAAGTGGCTGTATATGGATGTCTTTACTATGCTTTTACTTATATGTGCTTTGTAGAAAAGCAAGTTGATTTACGCTTTATTTTATACTAAACTTAACTGGCTTTTCCACTTATTGCAAATATGTTGGATCTGGTGGCTGAGCACTGGGTTCCATGGCTCTGCTGCTTTGCAAAGATCTTTGACCTGTTTCCCCAATGATCACAAGCTTTTCTTAATGGTAAAGGGTTAAACTGGTTGACAGTCATCTTTAACTTGTTAACACTCACCTGTTGTGAGCTGGCACCGTCAGCCACTGTGTTTATTGTGAAGGTGTCTTGTAAATACTTTACCCAAGACTAATATTCTTGGTTGGGTTTATTAGCTCCTACAAAGATGTATGGCTGACATATCAGCTGAGCTGAACCTGGAGAAGTGTTCCTAAACATGAAGTGTATCTCCAGCCTCACCATTAGCGCTTGTAAACATGAACCTAAATGACAAATTTAAGGCAGAAAATTGCAACCAGAGACGTTTCTTTTCTTAAAGTGTAATCAAATACAGCAATACTTTAATCTAAAGTTCTTTATAGTTGTATTAACTCAGAAACATCTCATGCTTTTGAACAATTGCACACACAGACTCGTAGACACCACAAGCTGCGGGTTTGTGGTATTG